CAGGGCCACCCGGCTGTTCTGCGACGTTTACAACCCCCAGAGCAAAACCTACTGCAAGAGGCTGCAGGTGCTGTGCCCCGAGCACTCACGGGACCCCAAGGTGGGCACAGAGTGGGGTTTTAGGATGGGATTTAGGAGTTTTGGGGTGGGATTTAGGGGGTTTGGGGTGGGATTTAGGGGTTTTAAGGTGGGATTTAGAATTTTGGGGGTGGAATTCAGGGGTTTTAGGGTGGGATTCAGGGGTGCTATGCCCCATGCACTTGCAGGACCCCAAAGTGGGCAGAGAATTGGGTTTTGGGGTTTTTGGGGATGGAATTTAGGGTTTTTTGGGGTGGAATTCAGCACGTTTGGGGTGGAATTTAGGGTTTTTGGGCTGGGATTTAGGGGATCCATGCCCCAAGCTCTCTCAGGCTCCAAAGCTGGACACAAGGCAGGGTCAGGCCGAGGTTCCGGCCATCCCCAGCCCGGCACTGACCCCGTGCCACCCCCCAGGTGCCCGCGGATGAGGTGTGTGGCTGCCCGCTGGTGCGCGAYGTCTTCGAGCTGACGGGTGACTTCTGCCGCGTCCCCAAGCGCAAGTGCCACCGTCACTACTGCTGGGAGAAGCTGCGCCGCGCCGAGGTGGACCTGGAGCGCGTCCGTGTGGTGGGTGCCACCGCCCCGGGGGGTGGTGGCATCCCCAAAGTGTCCCCAAGTCCCCCACGGGGTCCCCATCGGTGTCGCCAGGAGCGTCCCTAAAAGCGTTCCTGTGTCGCTGTGGTGGCACCGAGGGTGTCTCTGTGTCCCCAAGGGGTTTCCAGTGTCAGTGGTGGTGGCTCTAAAGGTGGCCCTGTGTCACAAGAAGTGTCCTTGGTGGTGGCCCCGTGTCCCCTGGGTGTCTCTGTGTCCCCAGAGGGTTCCCAATGTCAATGGTGGTGGCTCTAAAGGTGTCCCTGTGTCCCAGGAAATGTCCTCGGTGGTGGCCCCATTTCCTCAGCCATGCTTCCATGGTTGTTTCCTGTCTCTGAGGGTGTTTCATGTCCCTGATAATGTCCCCTGTGGTGTTCCCGTTTCCCCAGTGATGGCTTCAAGACCGTCCTTGTGTCCCCAGGGGTGTCCCCATGTCCCCACTGATGTCCTTTGCAACGTCCCTGTGTCCCCACTGATGCTTCCATGGGTGACCCCTCATCAGTGTCCTGTGTCTGCATGTCCCTGTGTCCCCACACTGTCCCCACACTGTCCCCATGTCCCGCAGTGGTACAAGCTGGATGAGCTGTTCGAGCAGGAGCGGAACGTGCGGGCGGCCATGACGAACCGTGCCGGGCTCCTGGCGCTGATGCTGCACCAGACCATCCAACACGACCCCCTGACCACGGACCTGCGTTCCGACCGCTGACCCCCCACCCTGGGACCCCCACAGCCCCCTGGGACCCCCCACATCCCCTCCCCACATGGTTCCCCCTTACCCAATGCCTGGGAACTTGCCCCTCACTAAATAAATCGGGTGTGAAAAAGGCGTCTGGGGGCATCTGACGGATTTGTGGGGTCGTCCCAATGGTCTGTGGGATTCGTGGGATATACGGGCCCCTGTGGGGTCTCTGGAAGTCCTTTTTCAGGGAACTTTGGGAGTTCCCAGGTTTCAGCACCATCCCAGATCCCGAAGAGGCCGTGGGGATCCCTTTCCTGGATGTCCTGTAGGGTGGGGGGGCCCTGAGAAGATCTGGGAGGTCCTTAGAGGGTGGGGGGGGAATAGGAGCAGCATTTGGAGAGCTGGGACGGATCCCTGGTGGTTTTTGGGGGGGGATCCCTGGGGGTTCTGGGGGTTCCTGGGGTGGGGAAGGTCCCGATGGGGCCGAGGRGAATTGTCTGGGCTCATTAGCATARCCACGCCCACGYGTGCCTTCATTAGCATAGCCCACCCTCTTCGCGTCACGTGTACCCCGTGAGTCACGTGCCCGCCGCTCCGCGAGCCGCGTATTGCCCCGCCCCTCCCCCGCTGTACCCGTTTCTATTGGTCGATGCCGTGTCACATGATCACAAAACCCCGCCCCTCCCTTCAAACGTTTCCGTTTCCGACGATCGACCCCGCCCCCTCCGCCCCCCGCGGCCGCGCGGCGCAGCCGGAGGAGGAAGAGGAGGGGGAAGAGGAGGAGGAAGAGGAAGAGCTGCGCCACAGGCGGAGGCGGATGGGAACGGTGAGGGGCCGGGGGGATGTGGGACGGGAGCGGGGTTAGGGGCGGAGGGAGAACGTGAGAGATCCAAGCGGGGAGACGCGGCCGGTGGGGAAATGGGGGCCGTGAGGGGTGGCGGGGGGAGCGCTTTGGGAGTGTTTGTGTGGGGGAAGGGGCGCGAGGAAGGGAGTTATGAGGGGGAGGGTGAGTTTGAGTGTTGGTCGTGAGGGGAAGGGTGAGTTTAGGCGTTGTTTGTGAGGGTAAGGGTTTGTTTGAGGGCAGTTTGTGAGGGGGAGAGGCAGTTTGGGAGCCGTTAGTGAGGGGGAGGGGCCGCTCG